CTTAATGTCTATTATAGGCACTTAAGTAGGTCCTGGGAATACAAAGATCAAAAAAAAAAAAAACAGTCTTTGCTCTCAGGGAACTTACGCTCTATAGGGGATTGAGACAAGCACAGGAAAAAAAAAGAAATCATTTTTAGCCAATATGATAAACAAGTATAAACAGAATCACATACCTTTCAAATTTCAAGTGACCTCAGAGGTCATGTAGTCTAAGCTGTAAGTGAAAGGGAATCTTCCCTACAACATGGCCAAACGTGGTCAGCCAGCCTTTCCTTAAAGAGGAGAGCCCATCATGGCCCAAAACAGCCCATTCCACTTTGGGACAGCAAATTGTTAAGAAGTTTTTCCTCACCTCTTTTAACAACTTTGTCTTGTTGCTCCTACCTGTAGCCACTGGTGCCAAAAAGAACAAATCTAATTTCTTTTCTACACATTAGTCCTTCAGGTATTTGAAGCTGACTATACTGCCCATCCCCCAAGTTTCTTCTTCTGGCTAAACATTCATTTCCTTCAACTCGATCTCCCTGTTAACATAAATACCAGGTCTATCCCCATCCTGACTGCTCTCCTCTGGACAGTTTAGCAGTGTTGTTCCTAAAATGTGCTGGCCATAATAATAACAATAATTTTCATTTCTACGGCATTTTAAGACTTTCAAAGTATATTATATTATATGTATGTTCAGTATATGGTCACAGGGTCACACAGCTAGTAAGTATGGGTCAGAATCAGAACCAATGTCTTTCCTAACTGAATTCAGCAATTTATCTGTAATGCAATGCTTCCTTTTCCAAATATAAACAGTGTAGACATGGTCAGACCAAGATGGAGAACAGTGGGACCAGTATCTCCTTTCTCCCCACCCTAAACGAAGTCCAAGAGACCATTAATCTTTCCCTAGGTTATGTTGCAGTCCTCCAACTGGTCAGTGTTTGCCTCATATGAAGCTTGTGATCCATCAATACCATCAATGACTATCCTTGGGGTCCAGCCAGCCAGCCAGCTTCATATCCATCCAAATCTTCCTATGATCTTGTCTACATCTCCCAATCTTTTACACAGGAATAGAATGAGATTTGTCAAATAATTTGCCAAAAAAAAAATTCAGCAAAATATAACTACAGTAATTCCCTTGATCTCTGAGTTCCATAACCCCATCAAAAGAAGGAAACAATGTTAATCTAGCATATCCCTGCTTTTGATGGACTGGATTTTTGTCATCCTTGCTTCCTTTTCTAGATATTCATTATCCCTTTACTAATACATTCTAGAATTTTTCTAGGAATTGAAGTTCAGCTCACTGGTCTATAGTTTTTCAATTCTACCCTCCTTCCTTTTTGGAAGATTGGGAAACATTTGGCTTTCTTTAGTCTTATGGTACCTCTTGTGCTCTCTGTAATATTTCTTTTAGAAAAATATTTTAGGGAGCAGCTAGGTGGAGCAGTGGAGAGAGCACCAGCTCTGGAGTCAGGAGGACCTGAGTTCAAATCTGGCCTCACATACGTAACACTTATTAGCTGTGTGACTGTGACAGGGGATGGGCAGTATAGTCAGCTTCAAATACCTGAAGGACTAATGTGTAGAATGTGACTGCAAGTCACTTAACCCTACTGCCTAGCCAAAAAAAACCCCAAAACATTTTATTGATATTTTTTGTTTTTATTTCACTATCATTTCTGAATATATCTCTTCCTCTCCCTTAGCCAATGAGCTTTCCTTTGTAAAAAAGAAAGAAAGAAAGAAAGAAAGAAAGAAAGAAAGAAAGAAAGAAA